AAAAAAAAAAAATAAACAAGAAAAAGACATCTCCCTCTCCCCAGCAGAGCTCTTCCATCCTTCAGTTGTCACCCCTGCACTCACAGAAGATCTGGACCTGCAGAAAATGAGAATTTATTGAGTACATTTGCAGGAAAAGCAGGTTTAGGACAGGCTCTCAGCAGAACTGTTCTCAGCTGAGCCAAAAAGGCCCCTTTGGCAGCTGCAGGGCCATTGGAAATGCAGAGCCTCAGCCCACAGGGCAGAAAAGGGCTCTGAGTTCCCCTCCCCTGACACCAAACCCTGTTCCCAGGCTGCTTCACACACAGGATTCTTCTGGAGCACTGCACAAAGCTGAGAGTGTGCTCTGGCTTCTCCATGGTGCATGTCCTAAAGCTGCCTGGGAGAAGAAATTTCAGGTCAGCTCTGCTGGCACAATCCCTCCTGGCAGCTGCAGGGCCATTGGAAATGCAGAGCCTCAGCCCACAGGGCAGAAAAGGGCTCTGAGTTCCCCTCCCCTGACACCAAACCCTGTTCCCAGGCTGCTTCACACACAGGATTCTTCTGCAGGACTGCACAAAGCTGCGAGTGGGCTCTGGCTTCTCCATGTTGTGTGTCCTAAAGCTGCCTGGGAGAAGAAAAGCCCTGACAGAGCCAACTTGGGCAGCACTTTGGCCATGGATGCTGGCCCGGGGCTGAGGCCACAATGAGGGGACAAGTGACCCTGGCAGCCCTGGGGCCTCATTGCCTCCTTGTCCCTGCTCAGCAGCCTGGCAGGTGATCAGAAACTGAGTGAGACGAACTGCAACCTGGGGAGGGGACTGTTCTGAGTTTGTTTTTTTGGAGCAGTGAGAAGTTATATTGTTTGGGTTCTATTGTTTAATAAACAGGTTTCTTTCCACTTTTTCTCCAAGGAGATATTTTCTCCCGAACCGGTTGGGGGGGAGGGGGCAATTGAATCTGCTTTCGTAGAGAAGCCCCTTTGGAGGTTATCTCCCAAACTTGCCCTAAACCAGGACAAGTACAGTTAGTGGCGCCCAACGCGTGGCTTGAGAAAGTGGAAAAAAACCCTTTATTGATTGCAGGTTGGTTGTGCTTGCTGTGTAGTAGGTTAAAGTACCCAGTATCCATGTTGCTTGAATTTGTAATGTTTCTTGGGGAGGCCTTTATGTGGCTCTGGTCTCTAGACCTTTTTGAGGTTTCAATACCTTTCTGGTCACTAGGATTATTGTCCCTATCACGTAGTTTTTGCAGTAAAGGGGCACGGATTGGAATAGCTATTGTGATGGCCTTGGTGATAATGATTTATAGGGCGTTTACAAAGATACTGGCGTCTGTTTACGATATGTATGGTTTATGGTTTCTTCGTCCTACCCTGCATCCCAGTTCTAGCAGTATGTTTTGGGAATTTATTAGTAATTGCACCCAGCTGGTTAAAGGAAGAGCAGGGAATGAGGCTTTCCAGCCTTTCCTTTCCTGCTTCTCCTTTGAATCTGTTACATCACTTTTTGAGAATGTTCAGTTTCCCCTGAATGTTAAAGAAACCATCTTTCTGGCATTTAATTTATTAAGCCTTTTCTATACTGTCTGGAGTGTATATAAAATGAAAGCTGAGATTTCTAGAGGGGTTAGAGAGACTCCTGATTCAGGAGTAAAACAAAGTAGGAAAAATCTTGACTGGAGTGGGAAATGGGAGGAGATGGGCCAGACTTTAAAGGAATTTTCTGATCCTATAGACTGGGACTTCCCATCTGATCAAATTCAGAACCCAATCGAGGTGGCAAAGTATTTGAGGGAGAAGTGCCATGGTAATACTAAGGAGGAAAGGATTACTGCAGTGAGCTGGGCCTTGGCGTTTGTTTACCGTACTCTGCTAGATACTGTGGAGCAGCAGATAGCAGAAAGGGAACAGGGAGATAAATTAGTTACTATCCCAGTGACTCAGGCTGCAGCTAACATCCCAAGCTCCAGGCTAGCAGCTGAATCAGACAATAGGCCTCAACCCATGGCTGTTGCAGCCAGTATGGATCAACCCTGCCTCGAGTACAGACAAACCCATCCGTGGGATTGTCTTTGCTCAAGGACCAGGTTATACATGGTGGATAATGCAGAAAGATGGAACAACACGGTGTGTACCTCAGGGAGACCTGATTGTGGGATGAGACTCATATATAAATGTCATTGTTTGTTGAATGTGAGACAGAAGGAAACTGTAAGTGTCAAAGGTCTGAGCAAGTAAGATGAGAGGAATGCCTAAGTGTCAAAGGTGTGAGAAAGTGAAATGAAAGTTTTTTTATTGTATGTTCATGATATTGGGATAAGGGGTGGAGTGTCGTGGGGTGACAGCCTTTATCCCAATATCGTGTGTTGTGTCTGGCAGCTGCGCCTTTTTCTCCCCCCGGCCGTCTTGCTGCAGCGGGGCGGGGAGGGAGGGGTGAGTGTGACCAGGCACCTTGGCTTTTGGCTTTTGGCTGCTTGGCTTGGCTTGCTGGTTTGCTTGCTTGCTTGCTTGCTCCTGCCTCGGCTCCTAGCTGATAGCTGCTTTTTTGCTGCTTTCTGATTTCTAAGTTTTTTTTTTTTCCTTTTCTTTCGTTCCCTCTTTCTTACCCTCCCCGAAGATACTGGACCGGCTCCGGACCTGACCTGGGATGTCCAGGACCCCCGGCGTCCAGGACCCCCGGAGTCTTCAAGAGAAGCTCAGCGCCCTCCACAGCACTGTCTGGTTTCTTTTCTTTCCTTGTGTTGGGGAGTGTTCTTTTGTTATTTGTCAATAAATAGGTTTTGTTTTCCACTTTGCTCCTCCGAGGAATTCCTTCCCGAACCCAGTATTGGGGGAGAGGTGGTTGGAGGTTTGTTTTTTTTTTTTTAGGGGGCTACCTTTTGGAGATTTCCCCTAATTTGTCCTAAACCAGGACATATAACTACAATCCATAATTAACTCTAGTACATTCCCTAACCTTTCTCTTAGATTTTAGAACAATAAGCTGACTGTCTAAATACAGCCTTGAAATACTGTATAGTCTTATTATCAGGAATAAAACCTACAAGAAGGACAGTTTGTTTTGTGACCAGAATATGAGCAGCCATAAGCAAGAGTGGGGCAAAGAAGCCTTTGGACCTACTCCAGTGGGTGGCCCAGGGGTGTGTAGCTGGGCTAACTGAAACTATTATTGGATGTTCCTGTTAAATATGTTAATTAATCAATCTTAATAAATTGTTGAAATCAGGGGCCGGGTGTGCCCCATCGCCACTGGGGCACGTTGAAGCTTGCAATAAAGGTCTGATTTTTACTTTACTGTTCTAACACTGCTGCAATGGGTTTTTTTTTACCACAGGGAACTTGGGCTTCTTGTGTTTTCCATCTGTTTGGGATTTGGTTGTTTTGTGTTCATTGTTTTCTCCTATGTGCAGATCTTCAGGGCTGTGCTGAGTATCCCCTCTGAGCAGGGACGGCACAAAGCCTTTTCCACCTGCCTCCCTCACCTTGCCGTGGTCTCACTGTTCATCAGCACCTCATTTTTCAGCTACCTGAAGCCCTCCTCCATCTCCTCCCCATCCCTGGATTTAGCCCTGTCAGTTCTGTACTCGATGGTGCCTCCAGCCCTGAACCTCCTCATCTACAGCCTGAGGAACCAGGAGTTCAAGGATGCCCTGAGGAAAACGATGACTGTATCTTTTCAGAAATAAAAAACTGTCTTTTTTCTGCTCCAGAACCTTCAGAATGTAACTCTTTACAATCCTGGCCTTTTCCCCCCTATTTGTTCATTTTTCATCGGGAAGTTTTCTTATTATTTTTCTGGTGTTATAATGTTTTCTCTAAGATACAGCAGTACTACTCTGAGCATTTCTACATGAACTTCTCTTTTGTAACACAAAGACTTTCAGGAGGCTAATTCCCAGGGCATTTCAATAAAATCAAGTGGTTTCCCTGACTTGTGTGTCCAAGGCATTTC